TCTGTCTGTCTGTCTGTCTGTCTGTCTGTCTGTCTGTCTGTCTGTCTGTCTGTCTCTCCCTCTCTCTCTCTCACTCACTCTCTCTCTCACAAACACACACACAAACACACACACACACATATTATATTAAATTCTCTCAATTTCAGTTCATGGAAAAGCACATGAAGCAACAATGATAGATGTACCACTTAAGGAGTTTAATAGGATCTCTAACACCTTCCATCCCCCATCCCATCTCCCCCCCCCAAAAAAAAAGCAGCCGTAATCGGACAAAGACAGTAGCAAAACCGATCGATGGCACTTTGTATTTAGACATCTTTTCGCAGACCCAGGTAACATATCTTTCACTAGTAAGAAGTAGAATGCAAGCTCAATTTGGGCATTTACACAGAAAAAAACAACCCAATTTATAGCTGATATAACAAAGCTGAAGTGTGTTGAGTTTGTGCATGGAGTATCAGTCTGATAGGACCACAATCACGTTGTCATTATTTTTATAATATTTTTCTATTCATCAAAATATATTTCATCCTTTGGAAATCGGAAGAAACTCAGATTTTGATTCTAATAGGTGCAGTTTATAGCAGAACGCCATTGACATTTCGTGCTAACCGGGGCAATGCTTGTCTGCGATCAAGGCAAATGCCTTGAACAATGGACGCAGTTTGTTTTGTTTACTGCGCGTTTCTCCACGATCAGCTGGTGACCCAGATACGCGCATCCGGGCGAAGTGCCGTCTCTCTAGAGTACACCTAACCAATGTAACAGCCATTGCCATTGTAAACGACCAAGACACATTTATCCCTGTGAGGTGGATAAGGATTGTCATTGTCATTGTCAGTCTTCAGGCCACCTATAACCTTTCACGTTGACCTGAGTCACAGTCTTCGCCATATGAAAGGTTTATTGGCGCCTGTCAACATTTTGGTCAGCAGGCTAGTGTTTGGGGACACCAGATATTTTGACGACAGGACGAATTAGTGCAGTTCCTTTGAAGTTTCTCCAGACGACGTAAACATTGATTTCCATTTTCAAAAAAAATAATGTTTTTTTTGCTTAAGCCCAGAAATAATAGCATTTCCATGTATAATAAAGAGCAAATCGAAAAG